ATATACATTATATATTATATATACATTTCATCATCAAAAGTATGTAAAATGACTCATTTCTATATGACATCGGTATAGTCAAGGATAAATTCATAAAGCTATTTATACTCTTGAAGAAGACTGTAAAAACAATTAGCTTGTACTTGGGGACAATACCCTATGACACTAGGTTGCATATTAAGCTGGATTAAGGGTGCAAATTATTGTTTAATGATTGGGTTAGTGAGAGTACATTGTTAGATTCGTGGGTTCTGCTTTGGGAAATACGTAAAGGCCAAAAACACAATACAGAAAATGAAAGAGACGTGTATGGTTTGGTTTGATTTTTCCTACTTTGATACTTTAAAACTTATATGTTACAAATGGTATAAAACTGTCACCCAACTTTAGGCCAGTTTTCTTGAATATTGCATCCCATTCAAACATTTGAAAATGGACTTTTATACTATTTTAATTATCCTATCTGTTTTAATCTTTCAGATCATAAGGCCTATGGATTCTCTGCCCCAAAAGACAAAGTAGTCAAAGCAACAGAATACCAAGGTACAGTATCTTACTGATTTTCACAGGCCGTATTGTTTAAATAAGTCATAAAGATGATACATGTGAGATTATCTTTCTATTTGTCCTGATCGTCTGCCTCACCTTACGTGAATTCCTTTGCCTGAAATGCTGCTTCACGCTGTTTCTGTCTCTTTCTTTACCTCCTCAGTGGAAATTTTGGACATTCAGTACAAGACTGGATGTGCAATGAAGGTCACTTATTACGTAAATTATCTACAACAAAGCAAACCCAATTTGCAAAACCGGGAGATGGAAATCTTGCAAAGTTTCTAGCCAGCTAGATGTGGTAAATAGAAATTAACACTTTAAATTCCACTCTGTGCATTCAAGATGATATTAAGGTAGCCTATTTTGGGGTACCATTTTAAAGTTTATCTTAGCTTCTTAAAAATATTTGTAAGGGGGAGTTGATTAATGGGTGTCAAGTTTCAGATTTGCAAGATGAAAAAGTTCTGAACATTGTTATGTGCAAAATAATATGCTTAACACCACTGAACTGTACAGTTAAAATGGTTAAGATGATAAATTTTATGGTATGTATATTTTGCCATGGTTAAAACATTTTAAAAAGGAAAAAAAGCAAAAAAAAAATTAGAGCTTTTCATTAATTTATTTCAAATATTGACCACCTACAACTTTTCCAAAGGATCTTTTACCTAAAACATAATTAATAATACTAGGCAACCAGCAAGAACTACTATTTCCTAATTGTAATGCTTGTTTGACCGGAAATTGTAAACATTTAAGAAACAGGTTCTAGATGTGTGATCTCCTATCTTCAGGTATGTCTTGGGTTCCTGGAGTTGGACAGAGATAGTATTGAAAGAAAGAGATAAAGATTAAAGAAAAGAACTGGAATGGGGGAATTAGATGAGTTACTATTAACATAGTGCTTTCAACAGTGCCTAGCACATTGTGAGTATTATATATGCTTAGGTAAAAATACTCTATAATAAGAATCCATCCATCATTGAAAAATAATGAATTACTTAATAACAAATCACTTTAATTATTTAGGTTAATTAAGTTCTCTTACATCCTAATATTTTATACAATTAAGCTAATAAAACACTCTTTGTTGGGAGTTTTAATGGAGAGAGGTGGAGAGGAAATTAATGAATGGGAGTGATTTAGGACTAGGGAGTGCTTACAGGGAGGATAAACAGGGCTGGGTGAGATGCCAAAAAGGAGGCTGAAAAGGTCACAAGAGTGAGCACAGTGGGAGAGGGAAAAATGGACCAGGATGTCCCAGAAGGATAAAGGAAGTGAAGTTCAGTTCTTTCTTCTCACTTTCCTGGAGGTTCTTACTGTTGGGCCCAGCTGGATACCATGATATGTGAATTAGGACATCAAAATTATATTCTTTAAGCTTACATTACTTTTAAAAATGATATTGAGGCGAAATTCACATAACATAAAATCCATCATTTTTAAGTGAACAATTCCGTGGCATTTAGGATATTCACATGGTGCTCACCTACCACCTCTAAGCTGGTTCTAAAACATTTCCGCTACTCCAAAATGCTGTACCCATTTATGTTACTTTCTAATGCGTGTTTTATTTTTAGTATAGAAATTCCTTCCATGATTTATTGCAATCAATGTTATTCTGACTCTAAAATAAGTTTTCTATTTTCTCTTTTCATCTCTACTACTTTTAATTAAGAATTACATTTTAATCTTATTTTATACATGCCCCAGTCATTCCAGCTTGGCTCTTCGGAAAGTGTAAATTTATTTCTGTCTCTTCCACATTTTAGTTTTAGGATATTTTATGCAGTAATTTAATTTTACTTAAGGTCTATAATATTTTATGATTTGTATATGCACAGATGTGTGTTCCAACCAATTCATTCATTCATTATCTCTTATTTCTCTGATAGCAAGAAATTATGATTTCATTCCTTCTTTTCAGGGCTGCTATTCTACATCACTTCCCATTGTGGTGCCATGAGCAGAATGAGACTGAAATCAGGGCAGCTCTGCCAGGCTTGTAAATTACATGAGCAGCCTTCTGCAGAGAGAGTCCAACCCTGAAAGCTATAAATCGGAGTTTAATAATGTGTGTTTTTCCACAGAAGTAATTTCTGCCAATTCAGAACTACTTTGTACTATCAATTCTCTTTCTGTGTTATATAAGATTTTGATTATTTTTAACTTGAGCACAGAGAATAAAATCAAAAGATAGTCCACAGTACAGAATCCTAGGAAAATTAAAATTCATAGTCATTCTATTTATGCAATCCCTAAAATATTATTTTGCCACATGTTGTTGCTAATGCTTTTTCTAAGCAAAAAATGATCTTTTCTTAATCCAAATGAAATAGATATTTTGGCAATGAGATAATCACCTTAAACAGAAAAACGTGGTACATTTTTCTGTCTTAATATGCCTTGTGTTGAGAAAATATGATTTATATCTATATTTTCTTTTTGCTGTCCCCAGAGGTAACATTTATTTCAAATCTGAGTAATTTATAAGTAAATTCATGATGGTATAAAGCATGGATTTCTATTATGTCAAGGCATGCTTATAACTACAACCAAAGAGAAGTTCCTCATTGGGTGAAAATAATGATAATGACCATTTTATGGAGCAGGTACTATATGCAAGGTACCATGTGCACCATGTGTATAAATACATTATCTCATTTAATCTTTACAACAACTTTGTGAGATGAGTGCTGTTATTTTTATCATTTTAGAGATATGGGTATAATTTTTTTAAAGTTGAATAATTTTCCCCAAATCAAATGCCTGGTATATGGCAGAGGTCTAACTCCAATGCCTGTGCTATAAACTACCGTATGATGACACAATAACCCTGAAGCCTGATACAGAAAATTATGCTGGCCACGAGTGTTGAATTTTGGCTGAAGAGAGAGAGGAGAGTCCTTGGGAGTCAGCTTGTAGGTTCACTTGGTTCTTTATCCTTAGATGTTGACCTCATGATTCCAGTATGTTTACTCTCTGGATTTGTTTCTGAGGGCTGCCATAACAAAATACTGTAAACTAGGTGGATTAAAACAACATAAATTTAATCTCTCATGGTTCTGAAGGCTAGAAGTTCAAGATCAAGGTGTCCCTAGGGCCTAGGCACCATCTCTTCCCTTGCTTGGGACCCTCTTTCTCAAAGAACCACCTGGCAAATTCCCTTCCTCTTTTAAATCTTGGTCAAATTTCACTTTCTAAATGAGTGAACTCTGACTACCCTGTTTTTTAAAATTGTAGCACCGTCCCCAGTGCTCCCAAACTCCCTGTGCTTCTTCTGTCTCCATAACCCTGATGTACTACGGAATTCATTTCACGATATTTCTTGTTTGCATGACTTCCCTGCTAGATTGTGCATTCCCAAAGGGCAAGGATCTTTGTGGTGTTCACTGATATAGCTCAAGAACAATGCCAGGCACACAGTGCTCAACATATTTTGGACAAATCGGACAGACCAATTCTCCACATTCTACGTAGTCAGTGAGAGAGAGGCTGGAGTGAGGTCACTGGACTTAGGAAAATCATTGGTTATATTTCCTAAAATAATTTCCACTGAGGTTTTTCCATAGCACAGTGAGGACAGAAATTAGGAAGAATTTACTGAGGGTGTGTGTGTGTCTAGTTAAATATATGAAACAATGTGGTTGAGTGTAAAATTATTCCTGAGACGTAGGAGTAAGACATGGAAAATGGGCTAAAAATGAGTGTGGGTGTGTGTTTAATTGTTGGAAACTCACAAAATACGGGAAGGAAACCTATCTACAACTCAAGACTCCGGAAGGTCACCACCCATTCTCCTTAATCAACAGAACAGAGCTGTGTTTCCTCAGACAGGTCCTTTAGCACACACATTTGTCCTTATAGCATAGTTGTAAACACATCTGTGAAATGGTGTATCTTTGTAACCTAAAACCTGCTTTAAAAACTTTAGGCATCCTCGAAAACAACTTTTGGTTCTTTTCTTCTTTGCCTTTCTTTTGTCTGCCCTGCTTTCTGTTTTCCATTACCTTTGATTCCATTCCTGTATTTCTGGCAATGTGTGTGAAACTTAAAAAAACTACATCTAACAAAAAGAAAAAAAAAGTCATCATTCTGTCAACAAATTACCATTGGGTTACAATTTTCATACATACTTCTACAAGCTTTTTGTTCATGTCTATGTGTATATTTTTAATTATACCTGAAATAATATTGTAAATATTGCTCTCTAATCTGCTGTATCATGCACTATCCTGCATTCTTTTTTTTAACAATCATTTGCTTAACATCAAAATCTGAGGTATGGAAAGGATTTTAACATAATTTCTGGTCAAAGAAACTGTGCTTTTTTCAGGTCAAACCGTATGCTTTGTGGGGGAAAAATGTCTCAGAAATGTGATATTGACATTCTAGAGAGCCTGGTTAAAAAATACCTTAAAAATATTTATAACTGTAAATTGCCACTTGACAACTTAAAGCAATTTCCAGACTGGCACTGGTTTTTCTTCCCATTAGTCATTTTGTTTGGAGAGTGAAGAAGGGGGATCCTTTGGAGGTTCCAGGAATTCTTTAATGACACAATTACAGTAAATTTCCTGTAATAAAGGAATTTAGCTACAGTGAGACAGTTAAACTTGATGCCAAGATTAAATCTTTAATAATTTATCTGGTTAAGGTGAGGTTATAAGCCATTGTTTTGGGGTAGAAATCAACAATTTATTAGAAGACCATATTGGGTTTGCATTAATGTATTTATAGATAGGGTTAGCAAAGAAGGGATCTGAGTGAGAATGTAGCATGTCGGGGGAACTTCTCTGGGTTTCCCCGCATGGCCTGGGCTGGATTAAGTGCCTTTCTTAGGCATTCTGTGTGGAGCTCCCTCTGCATACCCATCCTGGTACTCATCAACATTGGGGTGAAATGACGTTATCTTTCTTAGTTGCCTCTTCTACCAGACTGTAGACTCCTTAAAGACTGAGGCTGCTAATAATAAGATAAATAATTGTAACTGCCATTTGTTAAGTCCTTAGTATGTCCAGACCTTTGTGCTTTGCATATATTGTTGCATTTTTTTTCTTTTCACTGACAATGGGAGGAAATATTATTGCATTTGAGGAATTAGAACTCTATGAGGTACTAGCCCATTTTACAGATGGAAATTCGCACTCAATAACTAGGGAAAGCAGTATCGTGTCTGTCATACAATTATTACGTGGAAGAGCTACAGTGCTTCCAGTTCATCTTTGCATTGAACCAACATGGTATCTGTTGATGTAATTTGTGAATAAATGAATGAACTATAAAGGACTAATTTAAGGATGTTTAAAAATTTGTTACCAAATTAAGTAAAATATAAATTCATGGGGACAATTAGAAAACAAGCACTCTTTGTTGTTATTTCTAGAGATTATTTTAGCCTGTAAAACCCCTAAGAAGACCATTTCCTCCAGATTAGAGTGGAAGAAACTGGGGCGGAGTGTCTCCTTTGTCTACTATCAACAGGCTCTTCAAGGTAAGAAGCCGTAGGCTTGATGAGACAAGAGCAAGAGAATGCCAAGTACAGCCAGGATTCTTTAATTTGCAAATGAGAACAGGACATGACTAATTACTGAAAATGTGTTTTTGTGAGTGTGAGATGAAACCAACAGTGTCTGAGACCTAAAACAAGACAGCCACAAAAACAGGGGACAGGGAACAGAAGTAGGTGAACCCCAGTGAGTCCCTGTACCTTTCCTTTCTTAGCTCAGTAGTAGAGGATGTGAAATGCAATTGCTCTTGCTGGCTCAGTAGATTAAATTCTTCAGAGAAGAGAAGGAAAAATGGTGTGGGCTAAGATGAAGGGTTGCTGCTCAGTAATAATACGCTCACCGTGTTTCTTTAAGCCCCTCTTGAAAGCTAAGT